GCCAGAGGCGCGCGCGCACGCGCACTCTGCACGCACCGGCGGACAGCGGAAGTGAAGTGAAGACAGAGCTGCCCGCGCCGAGTGGGTTCTGGTTGGGTGCGGAGCAGTCAGTCCGGTAGAGTGCGCGCGGCCCCCGTGCGTTCTCGCGGACCCTCCGCGACGGTGCCCCCCCCCGTTTCTACGCACCCACTGGGGGGCCACGCATTCCCAGGAGGCAGCCCTGAGTTTGGGGCGGGCGGGCAGGCGCGGTCATGGTCGTCCCCGACGTGTTGGAGCGCCCTCGACAGAGGCGCCGACCGTCGGGGTGGTGGTCACAGTCTCCGCAGGCGACGCGAGGACCGCGGACGGAAGGGGCGAGCGCGGGGAGTCCCCGGGGCTCTTACTGGGACCTCACCCTCACTTGCAGACCCCCCGTTGGGCTTGCTTTGCTCTAACTTGGGGAGCTGGTCATTGAGGGGCGATTTCCCAAAGCTCTGTCCCGACCAGGGGGTCCGTGAGTAATGAGAGGACAGAGAGGTCAGCCTCAAAGAGCTCAAGGAAGGATTCAGCCTTTCTCCTTCGTTTCGAGTGTGTGGAACCCAAGAGGTGGAAACAACTAGAAACCGGGAGTCCAGGGATGGAAGCTGAAGAACGGGCATGACCGGCTGCTGGCTATTTCTTTTGCCCCTTGAACCTTGTTCACTTTCCCAGCACCTACCCTGGGCTCCCAATGAGCGATTTCTAGTTAAGCCTTGGCGAGCCAGACACGGGAAACGGAAACGAAGTCCTCTCGCACCCAGAGCCACTAGAGGGCAGGGCTGCACCTGCTGAGCTGGAGCGCCTCCGCCAAACCCCTCCCTTCCATGCTAGAGGCGTTTTTCTCTGTCAACACTTACACCCGGGGGAAAAATGTTGGCCCTGCCCTAGCCGGTGTTGCTCAGTAGTTAGAGTGCCGCCCGGCACACCGAAGGGTCGCGGGTTAGATTTCTAGGTCAAAGGCACAAATCTGGGTTGCAGGATTCATCCTGCCCCCCCCCCCCCCCGGCTCCGCTCCCCCCAGGCCTGGGGCCTGCGGGGAGGGAACCAATCCATGTGTCTCCCTCACATCCATTATTCTCTCCCTCCTTTCCACTCTCTACAAATGAACGGATCGGGTGAGGATTACCAAAAAAAGAAAAAAAAAATTTTTTTTTTTAGCCCTTATCTCAGGCCCGTAACATATGCCAATGTGCTCTCTGACCACATGTTCAGTGTCCAAATAAAGGGGTTGGCTCTTTTTTCCTTGGCTTTGTCCCAAGTAAGTGGTATTCGTCTATGGTCAAAAATCCTGGACAGCTTTCTACATTTACTTTTCTTTCAGCAAACATTGAGGTTTTATTCAGCAAGGTCACTTTAAGTTTCAAAAGTGACACCATAAACATCAGAATGAAATCGATTTTCTAGTCTCAAGAGTTACTCTCTATGCCCCACCTTTGGCTTGCAAAATTTTTGTCTCATCTGTTGTTTATAAGCCTACGATTTTGTACAATGCGTGTGCTACTTGCTCAATGTTGTAATCAGTTTTTAATGATTATTAGTTACTATACTTGTTGAACCTTAACACTACAGCACTGCATTAAAGACATAAAGCTTCTAAAGTAGGAAATGTACGTAATATAGACATTATTTGATATTTGCATGATCTTACAAAATAGAGGGTCATTTCACTACAGAATTTGCTATTGGATTGCTTTAGTTAGCGCAAACATTTTACCTAAGGCACCCTTTCAGAATTATCTGTTGTCTACTACAATATCCCGGCATTAGCCCTGCATTCATAATTAACTCTCCCACAGATGTATTACCCCATGACTGATACCTAAAGTAGCTTACACTGGAATTTTACTTTTGATTGCCTAACTTGTGAACGCCATTGTTCCTATGGCTAAGCCAAAAAAAAAAAATGGATAAAACCACCTTTGTCCAGAAAAACTGCTACATACTTCACTCTTAATCCACTGTCAATCATCTCACAAAGTCCTAGACCTGGAAGCAGCAAAAACCTTAAAGGTAACTGGTTCAGCCACTTAGCTGATCCTTGAGCCTTAACATATTTCTGCAGAGTGATCCTCTATTCCAGGGGTGGGGATTGTCCGGCCTGCTGGCCATATAAGGCCCTTGAAATCATTTGGTCTGGCCCTGCCAAGGCATTAGGGGTGAGTTAATTAAATGTTTGACCAAATATAGCAGGCTAATTTTTAAGTTAATTTTGTATGGCCTGTGAGTCATGTTGTAAATTAAAAGCACTACAAAAGTATAAGAGTATCATACAGGGAAGCAAGCAAAAGCATGGACTGTTAGCTAGCTAGAATGAGATTGATGGCAAAGAAATGTATTTTGTTTAAGTTGCCTCTTTAGAAATCAATGCTTTAAAAGTCTTGTCTGCTCTCACTTTATTCTGAATATTTAGCCTACCAAAGTAAATATATTTGATGCAAAAAATGGTCAAATATGAGCAAAAGAGGAGCAGTTTGTCAGGCATCTCTGCTTGGGGGAAATATTACAAATAGGGAAGATTGAAGAACAAACATGATATTGTACTTTTATTTATGCTCTGCCTTATACAAAGGATATGAGGCATCTTGTTTTTCTATCAAATTTGATAGCTAGTATTTTTTTATTTTATTTTTTTTTTTAGAGGTAGAGGAAGGGAGAGAGAGAAACATCAATTTGTTGTTCCACACAGAGATTGAACCTACAACCTTGGGGAATTGGGACAGCACTCCAACTAACTGAACTACCTGGCCAGGGCTGCCAGCGTTTTTTATAAACTTGGAAAATAAAGGAATATGTGGCCCCTTAGGATTTAAAAATTAACTTCAAAAAGGTTATATTTAAATCATTTCTCAGAGTCGTATTTCAAAAATCTTTTAACATTGTTTTAAGTATCATGGTTAATAGTTAAGGAATTTTACCTAGCTGATGGAAAAGAAGTTGTCATTTTTTAAAGTTTGATATTTTAAAAGCATGTAAAGATACAACACTACTTATTTAAGCTAACCTACTCCAACAGAACAAGTATTTTTCTTCTCATAGAATAAAAGACATGCTAAGGGTCAAGTTTAGGGAAATACAGTCTTATTACAAGAAGTATATGAAATGAGTGTCTAACTACCACCTGCAGAATTGCTATAAATCTGCTTGGTAGAATAAAAACTGGGAGCAAGAAAAAAAAATCAAATGGACTAAAAAATGAGATACCTGTGTTTGGTTGTTTTTAACATACATTGATATCCAAATATTTTCCAAATATTTTATCAGCCTACAATATTCCATAACTTCAACACTTGCTAGCATTCTAATATTTGATGAAACTGAGCAGAAGAAATTAGAGAATTTAAAGTGTACTCTTTTAATTTTTATTTTTAAAGAAGTTCATTTCAAGAATGATTCAGTTTCTCCATTCACTGGGTTCTGAGCCTGCAGTGATATTTGGGATCTTTGGTATGTGCTACTGATCCTGGGTTGCAGATGAGGGTAGATGGGAGCGCAGGTGAGGATAAGAAAGGAAAGGAAAAAGCAAAGTGAGTGTGAGTCTTATGTCCAAGAGTCAACTCTGGACTTTGTTATTTCCATGGGAAATAGTCATAGCATATTACATACACCCCAAGATTTTTTGAGATAAAAATGTTTTCATTTAAAAACATTTTAAGATGAAATGAAATGGTCAAGGGGCCCCGCCATCGTCCCATGATCCCTTACAGAGGGGGGCCCAGGCTACCCTCTGTGGGGCGATCAATGGGGGGGCTCCATGATCAGTCACCCCAAAGAGGGAGGCCCAGGCTACCTGGCCGGTGGTGCTGTAACAGGTGGGCGGGGCTGGCCAGTGATCGCCCTGTAGAGAGTGGCATGGGCCTCCCTCTATAGGGCAATCATTCTGTCTAGTTTTAAAACTAGCATCATTTATCTCTGGCCCCAAAACACTTGTCTGTAATAATCTATAATAATAAAAGCATAATATGCAAATCGACCGAACCACAGAACGACCGTCCAGACGACCTTCTGGATGACCACACTATGACACGCACTGGCGCCAGGCCAGCCAAGGCGGGTGCGATGCTATTGGTTGGGGGGCCCCGCCCTCGCCCCATGATCGCCCTACAGAGGGAGGTCCAGGCCACCCTCTGCAGGGTGATCAATGAGGGGGCTCTGCAATCAATCACCCCAGGCTACCCGGCTGGCGGTGCTGCAGCGGGTGGGTGGGGCCGGCCAGTGATCGCCCCGCAGAAGGAGGCCCAGGCCAACCAAGCGATCACACCCCACGCCTGTTACCCGCAGAGGGAGGCGACCAGTGGCAGGGGGTGGGGGGGCAGCGCTGCACAGATGGTAAGCAGTGGCAGAAGCAGGGCGAGCTGCCGACAGCCAAGGGAAGGAAAGCCCAACAGGCCCTGATCACCAGCTAGGCCTAGGGACCCTACCCAAGGGGTCCCAGTTTGCGAGAGGGTGCAGGCCAGGCTGAGGGACACCCCTCCCTCCCGTGCATGAATTTCGTGCACCAGGCCTCTAGTATGTAATACAAATCTATTGAATAAATGAGTAATCTGGAAAATGGCCATCATAAATAAATAATTGCTGTTGAATGAATAAACATAATCCCACCTTTGACTTTGCTATTTGCTTCCTACGGTAAAGCTAAAACATGAGCTTCTACTTTCCTGCAAAGCAAGAAAAACCAAGAAGTTTTCAAAGGTTTAAAATGAATTCACATCTCCAAACTACAAAGGAGTTAACTAGGACAGCTTGAACTGAACAGGAATAAACACTAATCATTTTAAGATGTATTAAATATTGAGCACTGCCCAGATCAGATGAAATTTCACACCTAGATTGTAAACCCAGGTAACCATTTGAAATTAAACGATAATGTTGAGGTGGCTGCTGCTATGTATGTAGGAAATTTTAGCTAAGCTTGTGCTTTGGATTTTAATGGAATGCATATCAATGCCTGACAAAATCAAAAGCATTGTAGTTTTCAGCACAGTCATCAGTTATTACCTTAGGGATCAAGGAATCTACTCAATTCTTGGACAAGACAGCCAGAAGACTATATATAAGCAACAGGCCTTAGAATAGCCAAATAAATTAAATTGCCACTGA